CCAAGGAAGGACTTACCTACCCACTAAAAGATAAGAACTACTGCCAGCCTAATAGCCAAGCTCTTGGGAGAGTAGTTACAATGTTGGGCGAGTGCAAAAAAGCTCCCCCCCAAACTATGATAAGTGAGACAGAAAAGATGGCATCGATACTTTCATAAACTCTGGAGAGCTCGGTGTGCAAAGGGGGCTGGCTTGGGCCCGAGAGCCGCTCCCGTGGAGGAGCTCTGACGTCAGAAACCAGCGGCCACCAGACAATGGCCCGCATTGTGCTCAGCCCGTGACCTAAGAGCAATTTTTTTTGGGGGGGTGGAGGGTGTTTAAGGAAAAAGGGCAGAGCGTTTCATGACACATAAACATGAAATTCCATTTCAGTGGCCTGAAATAAAACGTTATTAGGAAACAGCCAAGCCCATTCATTTACATGTCACCATGGCTGGCTTCATGGAGAGCAGCGGGCTGGCGGCAGCAGGGGCTGACTGGTCTGCAAAGCCTCCGAGATGTACTCTCTGCCCCTTCACGGAGAAAGTTCCCGGACCGCTGATGCCGACAGAGGATATCCTCTCATAACAGAAACATTCTCTGGGGATACCATCTCTAGACACCACATCCTGTCACAACTGGCTAGCACGGTGACAGCATCGTGGACTCAAACTTCCTTAATAGCTTGGCAAATGCATAACGAGTTCTTTCAAACTTAAGTTTTGTAGGGTGGTTTACTTACAGCCGTCTTATTTCCGAATTGTATAGCCATAAAAGAGAAAAATGTATGGGCGTTGTTAAACACAAGAGACAACACACATGAACACTATGCCACCACGGAAACAGTGGCGACAGGAAAATGCACTGGTACTGTCAGGGGCCTTACCTGTCTGCCATTTGAGGTATTATAAAGTGCTGTCCATTTCTGTGATCTGAAACAGAAACCAAGCCAAAGCGTTATGCGCATAAATATCAGTATGATCCCTAAATGCAGCAGCAGCACCACCACGATCTTCTCAATTTATGCTTTATAATTAGTACTTTTCCCAAACCATGAGTTGGAGGGGGTAAAAGTTGCTATTTAACCAGACTGGCTACTAATTCCCAAAGGACCACCTGGCTCCAAGGGGTCTATCTCAGTTTCTTCTGGAATTAAGCAGAGACCCCTATATAAACCTCAATCCTTCGGCTCCCTTTATTCCCAATGTAAACTAGGAATCGTGTTTAGGGAGCTGACAGAGTCCAAAGCAAAGTTCTACAGCGTTCCACAGGAAATGGCTAAGCCTGGTGGAGCTGTGCCGGTCATCATTCATCAGACAGCACAAAACCTCCCACCGTCTGGGTTGGGGCAGGAGGCCTTTGCAGGATCAAAGGAGGATCCCTCTCCCAGTGTTTACTAACTTGGTCCTAATCTAGCTTCTGAAGGACATTCTGATCACCATCCAACCAAGTCACCAGCCATCCACATACAGGACTGCAGGGACATATGGTAAGCACACCGGTAGTATTATACAGGACTGCAGGGACATATGGTAGGCACACAGGTAGAATTGTACAGGACTGCAGGGACATATGGTAGGCACACAGGTAGCATTGTACAGGACTGCAGGGACATATGGTAGGCACACCGGTAGCATTGTACAGGACTGCAGGGACATATGGTAAGTATACAGGTAGCATTGTACAGGACTGCAGGGACATATGGTAAGCACACCGGTAGCATTGTACAGGACTGCAGGGACATATGGTAAGCACACCGGTAGCA